GTTCTATTTAAACAGATTTAAAGCCGAATTAAATCTCACCTTGGTTCTAAGCACCGATCTTAATGCTAATGCCGCCATGATTAAATATTTTTTCTCCCTGATTTCACAGATCCTGCAGGTAGCGCGAAGGTCCGAGAGCAGTCGGAGGTTGATTATTTGGAGGCGGGCCTTAGCAAAAATCAAGGCTCCCTATTGGTCCACATGTATTGACGCCCACAAATGGAGGCCTGTGATTGGTCTGATTGCTGACCCATCTGTCCAATCAATATTAGATGCAAGGCACATTTCCGCCTCAGTTTAATAAATACGAAACACGTCAACAGCGAGCATAGAAATTAAAGAGTAAATGCGACCTTGCTGTCAAATTGTAGATACGTCAGCGTGACGGCCATATTGTGAGGGTCAAATGCAACCTTGTAACTGATTCAAACCATGTTTGAAAACTAAAATAAACAAAGTTTACATTTAATAAATTATTGTGTTTTTTTTTTTTGGTTAAAAGTCATATCCGTACTAGAAATGAAGGTTGTTCAGACAAAATTACCAGCATGCTTTCCAGTGATATAAAAAATAAATATAACTTCATCATTTTTTGTGATCTTGTCTACTGAGCTGTTTAACTTTGATTACTCTTTTTCAGTTATTATATTATCTAAAACCATTTAAGTATATTTTTCTAATAATACCAGTAAACATTACAGTACCTACTAGTAATAAAGTTCAGCTCCAGAATGTGTATTTTATATCTGTGATTTATTTATTTTGCTTTTTTTTTTTACTGCATTGCAAAATTACATTTGAAAAGCTGTCATTTATTTATTTATTTATTTTCTTTTACAGCATCTGGCCCACTTCGTTTTATTTTTCTTGCTTTCCTCTCCTAAATCTTTATGTGAACAGCCTAAATAAGTTTATTTAAACAGTAGTATTATTTTAGAATCATTTTCTCGAAAAGGATGCTAGCAAAAATGGTCATTATGAAAAATAAATGAGAAATTGTTTCTCTTTTAATTCTAGAGCTTTAAATAATACTGTTACTTCATAGTTATATTTTAAACCAGTTTTAAACTGATTTTAATCCCACTTTGAGAATGAAACAGTTTTTTTTCTACTTCACAGTTTTCCTCTTTGTCCTAATTTAGAATTACCTTATTTGAATGATCATTTAATTCAAGTAAAGAATCTTTTTTTCACCTCAATTAATTTTTTATCAACCCACCTCAATGCCAGTCACAAGATGGCGACGACACGAACATGTGCAGCGTCTTTTATTCTACATCTATGACGCTGACTCGTCCACCATATTTTTTAAACCAGGGAAATTATGTAACCTGCAGCTGAACTCAAATCAGCAGGGTTACACTTTACAAGGAGATCTTTGTTCAAAACCTTCACTTTTCATTTGTTTACTCTTACATGCTTAAGAAACGCGAATTAAGAAGGAAAAGTTCACAACAGACGGCTCTGAAACCCCCAAGTTCACTTTATTCTGATGTTTCAAACGTCATAACACCAGAGATGCGCTTCACCTTAGTTTGCCTTATGAAGGTATTGTGATATTTTTTCCTGTTAGCTATGAGTGTAAGTGTGTGTGCTTCATGTGAACCAGAGGGAGCCCATATGTTGCAAAATCATGGACCAAAGTGTAAGTAGGAGGGAATTCAGGGATGCATCCTATTGGCTGTGTGAGGAGGATGGGATTTTGTAGAGAGAGAGAAAAAACAAGCAAAACTTGATTTACTGTAGTTTAGAGACATCTGCTAGATTCAAAGAGCTATGGCAACCCAAACCAAGGTGAACCAGTCAAATCTAAACTGTACGGATTAAAATGTTATCTTATTTTCAGCTCTTCCTATGTTTGTGCTTTTTTTCCCTCTTTAGCCTGTTCTTCATGGATACTTCAGAAGCTCTTGCTCGTGGAGGGTCCGGATTGGTAAGTCATGCCTTAAAATGACTCAGCTTTTTTTCTTTTATAGGTCATTGTCATGTTATTAAGATGATATTAAACTTTTGTGCACAGCTTTTGCTCTTAAGGGCATTGAGTATGACCAGGTTGCAGTCAATCTAATCAAAGATGGAGGTCAGCAGGTACGGTAAACATTCACTGTCTCTTTTTTCCTTTCATGGATGGATGGATGGATGTGCATGAGCAGAAATAAATAAATGGAAGACTTTGCCTTTTTTGTCAACAAAATAACGTTTGAGTATGTGATTTTCAAAGCTTAGAAATGTAGTACATTCCATGACATGACCAAAGAGTCTGGGTCTCAATTTGATTGGTTTTCTTTGACAAATTTTTTAAAAATCCTTTATAATAAGCCTCAGTCCAGCAGACCTGATCCACCTATTATTATTGATGTTATTTTCTTTCTTTAAAACCAGAGGAGGTCCAACTTGGAAGCAGACTTTTTCAGTTCATGGTTTCATCTTGTTTTGCCTTTTGTAATAGCTTATAAAATATTTTGTAAAAAATATTTAACTAATATTTGAGCTTAACTGATGTCAAATCTTTACTCAGCTTACAGAGCAATACAAAACATTGAACCCCATGCAGCAAGTTCCAGCAGTGGAAATTGATGGCATCACTCTGTCTCAGTCGGTAGGTTTCAGCCCTCCATTCATATCAACCTATTGCAAACGTATTCACACCCTTTGAACTTTTTTTTTTTATTTATACATTTACAACCACAAATTTCTGTGCAATTTTATGTGGTAAAACAGTGTAAGTTTAAAGAGCAAGGAAAACTTAAGATTTTTGAGTTTTTCTTTTATCAATAAGAATGCATTTTTATTTATGGATTAAAAGAGTCATCTTTAACTTCAGTTGCAGCATGAAGTGTTTTTTAAATCAGTGTTCCACTTTTAGAGACTAAAGATTTTGCAATTTTTGGTTATTTTTTTTAAATAGCTCTAGAAAATATTGTTTTTCAAGACTTGTCTGACTCTACATTCAATTTAGGGTTGAACTTGTACAAGGCCATCAGAACAGTCGACAGATTAGAAGCCAGAGAATTGTTTTGTATTTGTGACACTAAATCCCAATAAAAACATTTGAAAAAGTTGAAGGGGTATGAATACTTTTTTTAAAGTATAACACTGAACACACTTGGTTTGCATTTGTAGCTTGCAGTGATCCAGTATATTGATGAGACCAGACCAGGACCTCGTCTTTTGCCTGCAGACCCGAAGGCACGTGCCCAGGTTCGCATGATCAGTGACCTCATCGCCTCTGGGATACAGCCTCTCCAGGTAGCTATGAAAACAAAGATTTCTGTTCTACTTTGAATATCTTAAAATAAATTTATGGCAACATTTGATGCATTTCAGAATTTATCCGTACTCCAGAAGATCGGAGCAGAAAAGTTACCGTGGGCGCAACACTACATCAATCGTGGTTTTCAAGGTTTGTGGAAAATTTTCACTGTCATTGACTACTAAAAGAGCTCTGAATTATCTTTTCATTGGGGTTTATTTGAATTTTTTGATTTCCTACAGCTTTAGAACCAATTCTGAAGCAAACTGCAGGGAAATACTGTGTAGGCGATGAGGTAAGAATTTGGTTACCAGATCAAAAGTGAAAAAAATATTAAATACATCCAATAATTTACATTTTATCACTTTCATTTTAGATTTCCTTGGCAGATATTTGTTTAGTCCCACAAGTCTACAATGCAGAGAGGTGAGTATTTCAACATTTCACCAGTCACGGTAAGATGGTCTGTATCTGGTCTGTATCTTTGTGAAAGATGAACATGAAGTAAGAAGGAAATTGATGATTATATTCCCTGATAAAGTTAAAAGCTGGGTTATTAAACAATATTTCAAGCTTTGAACATTGTACAAGGTACTGCTCAATCATTGTAACATGGGAGCATTTTGCACATAGCAATCAAAAAAATCCTTGCCAGTTTGTAATTTCAACAAGAAAGTGAATTGTTAAGCAAAGGACTTACAGTACTCACAAAATTAACTGATGAATGTACATAAGTTCATTCTGCATGTTTCAGACTTGCAACACTTGTTACAAGTCTTGTTGCAAAAAATAATTCAGAGCTCTTATTAGTCAACAGTAAAAATTTTCTACAAACCTTGAAAACCTCAATTGATGAAGTGCTGCGCCCACGTCATTATTGTTTAACAATGACAATAACAGCAAAAATAAAAAGTGTTTGATCTATTTATCTACCTATATATTTCCTGGTACAATCAAATGTTGAAAGTCATGCAGTTCACGTTGGCATGAGACCAAGACGACACCGAACCGCTGATAAACAGGACCTCAACATTGCAAAGATTTGAACAGGATGTTCTTGCGTTGCTCAATGTCATCAGCTTTTTGCAACAGAAATAGAGAATGTTTTAAACACAGAAAAGCATAGCAGCACTTTGCATCATTCGGGAATGGCTGCTGGATACTGACTTACCTCAAATCGAGCGAACCGCGCTTTTCTGAAGTCCATAGAATCAATTGCATGCTTCTGCTTAAATGTCCTACTTTCATATTATAATATATTTGTATTGTAAGCTTTCTATTTTGTCATACATTTTCCCTGAAAGTTGAACTTTCGAGTTGTGAGTAATGAATGTCCAGTCCCTCAGTCCCTGCTGCACACAAACATTTAATTCAACAAAAATGACAAGTTTTTTTTTTTATTTCTGCAGGTATAAAGTGGATGTAGGCCAGTATCCAACCATCAAAAGGCTGAATGACACCTTGGTTGAGATTGAAGCTTTCAAACTGAGCCATCCATCTCGCCAACCAGACACACCTGCTGAACTTCAAGCATAACATGATGACAGTGGGGCCTTGTTAAAGTACTTTAAACAAGTGTTTTTATTTAATCAGTATTAAACAATGAAACTCATAAAATATTTCATTATGTAAAAAGGTTTTACCAACACACGATAACTCACATATTTGTAATGTCCAAAACATGCAAATTAAAGATTTGTTATGCAAAGTACAAAACTTCAAGCATTAGTGCATACATCTTATTACTGGTACACAATTTGACAGGTGACATGAATTCTTTCAAACCAGAAGAAAGCAAAATAAACCACTTTTCTTTCACATCAGTTGTCTGCGACTGCATGGATATAATCATTTGTCAGTGATTTCCAGGCAGAACTTTTGTGTGTCGTCGTAGAAGGAATCAAAGCAGTCAGACCCACCAAAGACCAGCACTGTGCACTTAATATTGTTTTCACCTTGCTCAGTTTGTAAATTTATCATGCTGTGTCCTGCACGGGGTTTAGAGCAAAGCAGTGGACATGCCACTGAGCTCCACATTCTGATGTCTAAACATGGGGAAACAAAGCAGAAAATATTTCTTACTGAACAAATGATTACAAATCAGCATCATTTTATTGTCCTACAAAAGTTTGCACATTGCAAAGCATCAGCACTCACCAGTGTTGAAGACATGCACATCCTGCAGAGCTCCAATTGCACTGCAGCCTCCACTGATCAAAATTCTGTTATCCAACACTGGAGCTGCTGCATGAAACCTGATCATTTACATGCAAGAGGGTTTCATCTGCATCTTCAACCATTTTATTTTCAGCTTGGTTTGATGCGATGATTTAAGACACCAAAAATATATATATTCTGGAAGCAGATGGCTTCATCGATGACATTTATCAAGGTCAATTTGTTCTGTACTCACCCTCGAGGCAATGGTGGCATGTTTGCACATTTCACAGCTGTGTACTCCATCAGTCCTTCACTCAGAGAGAAAACACAAACATCAGAGCTGGAGCTCAAAGTTGTTACTGACTGCATTGAAGCAGGCTGCTTACCCAGATCTAAAACATGAAGATCATTGAAGTAGGCAGCAGTCATTTGTCCTCCAAAAATGACCAGTTTCTGTCCAAGAAGCGTAGCCGAGTGCCTGAACATCAAGTCCTGGGTTAGTAAATATTTTAAACACAATTAATCAAAATTATCCTATTTTACAAAGCAGACTGACCCAAAGCGAGGCAGAGGCTTGTCTCCCTCCACAATGGGCTGGTACCAGATCTCATATTCTGGGCTGAAGATGTAGAGAGCGTTGCTGCATTTATCTCCCACTCCATTGCGCGGCTGAACTCCTCCAAAGACAAAAAGCTCTTTCTGGTAGAAAACTGCTGAATGGTATGATAAAGCCGGCACTTTCCCTTTAGCCTTGAGAAAAAAATTTACAAAAATAAAAAATGTATTCTTCTGTAAGGGACTACATTTTAATAATCAAAAAACAGTCAATACTATCACTGGAGAAATTTGTAACCAAAGTTTTTCAGAGAATATTTTACACATTTCATTTTTGCAGAAATAAAACTACTGATGATATAAAACCTAAACACAGTAAAGATATTAAACACATCAAGTACAGAATGTAAGTATATAATCATCTGAAAAAAAATATTGAATTACATATTTTTATACAGCTAATAACGTAAATCAATTATTAAAGCATAGTTTGGTTGTTTATAATGAACGTAAACATTATACAACTTCTTTAAAGATTTTTCATCACAAAGATGTTTAACAGAAAGCTACAATGAGAAATTTTCAATGCAAATACAAACAAAACTGGAAGGCATTAAAAATAGACAAAAGTCAAAGCATCCAATAAGAAAACTGTCAAGCAGCAGTAATGTTTTATGATAACTGTTTTTTTTTCTTATGACACCAACTTTCAAGATATAAAATCTCAAGTAGATAAAAACACATTGTTTTTCTACCAAATAATACACCTTAATGGGTTTCGTCCAGGAGCGGTGATTCTCGAACAAACCTACAGTGACAAGCCTCCACTTCCAGGTCAGAGTATTAAGGATGTACAGCTCGCTGTAGCGCTGACTCTCCCTCAGGCCACCGTACACAAAGACTGCCTTAGAGTCTGGGTCAAAGGTCGCTGTGTGTCCTCTGGCACATGGAGGCACTGGTCCAGAAGCAGAAGAGTTCATTGGGAACCAGAAGTCACTGTCTGAACAAATGTAAACAAAATGCTGGATTAAAAACAAAAAAACTATTCAGGAACGTCTGGCTTAGCACTACAAAATGTATTGTTCCGACATATTTTGTAGGACTACTAAATCAGTGCACCATCTTGCACATCACAACAGATTTCACGTATTCTGTTGAGAGTTTATGGGATAGAGCAACACAAAGTTGCCAATTACTGAAGAAGAAAACAGGTTTTCTTTTTTACTAAAAAAATAAAAATCTAAAAAATATTATTTGCATTTATATTTAACCTTCTTTACTCCAATACCCATAACTGAAATCCAGAAGCTACAAAAGACTTGGTACAAGTGCAAAAGTTGCTGCAGGACAACCCCAAATATACAGCCAGAGCTATGATGGATAAAAGCATATTCATGTTTGAGAATGGCCAATTCAAAGTTCAGAAATATATCAAACTTAAGTCTCGGAAATTGATCTGCAGACACCCCTTTGTTCAGCCAAAATGACTTAATTTTGCAAAATATGAGTGGCCATAATGATAATCTCCAGATGAGCCCATTGCTCATAATCAGAATCAAATTACAATGCACTCAGTAATTTCCATTTTGATTGGGTTTTTTTTTTATTTTTGTAGGGTAATTTTGTTTTCAGAAAAAAATCTAATCCATTTTTTCCATTATTGTTATTTTCATTTTATTTATTGTTTTGGATATTTTAAATTCCAAAAACAATAAACATACAAAATACTCATTTTGGATATTGGAAATGTCTTCCAGTTCCAGTATGGAATGTTCTTTACAAAATTAAAAAGTTTATTGGCCTTTCAGAAGGTGTTCTTCCATTATTATGCAAGTTATTACTTGATAATCCATCTCAGAACAAGAATATTATAGTTTATTGCAATAATTAAGCAACATCTTTTATTGTTATTTATGTATGTGAAAAGCTGGAAGAGAGTAAGAGGAAATACCCCAAAAGACTGCAGCTTTAACTGCATTGAATGGTGCAAATTATTGACTGAGGGAGCTGAATTTAATACATAATAACCTTTTTTTCAATTAAAGCTGGTCAGCATCCTTCAAACTCCCCATAATACACTATTTGGTGTTGGTCTATCATGTGCAAATCAATGTACTTTGCAGTTTTTAGTTGTAACTTTAAAAAATGTGAATCATTTTTCAAGTTCCTGCATATCAACAAACTCCACTGACCCAACTCAAGCTTCCACAGCGAGTCTTCACAGTAGTTCTGATCCGAAGTTTCCCCTCCGATGAGGACAGCCGTATCTGGGTCACTCAGGCACAGAGTGTGGCTCCAGCGCTTTGATGGACATGCTAAAACTAATAACAGCTTCCATGAACACAGTTTCTATGCACACAGTTGTGACTTCACAGGTAAGGTTGTTAGTCTCACCTTCCCTGCTTTCGTTTTTAATCTGCTCAGTTATTTTCTCCCGGATGCTAATGCTGCACAGTTTCCCCCTGTTGGAAGTGGAAGTTTTGTCCGTGTCCTCTGTGAGACTGTCTGTTTCATCTGAGCTCCACGTCGGGCAGGCTCTCCGATTGACGACAGTATGCCTGGGAGTCTTAGCCTTTCAGTTGCACAGAGCACATTCCAGACATTATATTTATTTGGATATTAACAATAATAACACCAACACACTTACCAAAGGCAGAGCTGCAGGGCGAGGAAAGTCACTGGTCTCAACTTTAATCATTGGGAACTCAGAATAGCAAACACTGTGGCTCATGTGTGAGGATTCTGAGATTATCTGCAAAGATTTTTTGGTTGAGATTAACAACAGCGACATATTTATAATAAAGACAGTAGGGCTGGGAAATTAATTGCATTTTTGAAGATTTAATTTTTGGATGATCTGGATTTATTTTCGCCACCAATGCACTCAGGTTTTCGTAGTTCAGAGTGGTGTCAGCACAGGGAGGGCAGCCACCTTGTTTGACAAGAGTGTCACCGTTGTCTCACCGTTTCAGTTTCAAGAGTTTCCTGAATAGAGTTGGAGAGATCGGCCACACTGCATTGTTCTGAGATCAGGCGTTTCCTGCAGGCCAAAGGGGTGCTGTGGACAGTGATGTTATCCTGTAGCAAGAGAAACGACACACAATCACTCCTGCTCAACATTAAACTCCCACAATCTGATCTACAGTGTCAGTCCACACTTTATGTTCTTGGCATTCTCAGGAATTTAAATGTTTATCCATTACTGTATTAGTTTTGTACTTTCTTTCTTGGTATGTTTTTTTTTATTGTAGGATTAAAAATGACAAAAACAAATCAGAAATAAAATTCTGACCTACAATTCTGATTATTTAAAGTCAAGGGTGTGCTATTTTGTTATTTTAAACAAACTTCACAACTTCCACTTTTTGGGCAGGAAATTTGCATCAGGTCTAAATTGTAGAATCAACAAATTACATAAATGGCCCAACATAAAGTCAGTGAAATGAAAAAACATAATTCCTTCAATCAAAAGAGAAAATAACAGAATATGACAAAGTCTTGCCATTTGGAAGGCATCACAAACCCATTTATGAGGCTTTGGAACTCCAAATGATGGTTTGAAACATTCACACAGCTTTCCTCTACAAGTTTTATTCAGATCTCTGCTTCACTGGGTTCTAAATGTGCTAGAAATATTTGTGCAAGTAAAAATGGAACCACACACTGCCTTACTGATAAATGAGTCTCTTCTACCTCTGCGCAGGCCTTCAGCACAATTTTCCCATACATTCCTCTCCTGCCTCTCTCTTCAGCCGCTGTGATGACGTCATCACTCCAATCACCTTCCCAGGTCAAACACCTGAGAGGAAAGGAGACGTGCTGAGCATTTCCACCCCAGAAACCATTCATTTCATCTTTCCATCCGCTGTACTTTATCTGTGAGGACAGAGTCCCTATGTTCTGTGGCTGGACGTCCTCGCTGACCACCACCTCTGCAGACAAAGTTGTGTCTTTGCATGACCAGTCTCCAAACCCGAAGATGACCAGCTGTTTGGGGAGAGGCAGCGGGATGTGGACTTGGAAGCGGCTTCTGTTAGACTTGCTGCGGATACCCAAACTGAATTTGAATGCCTGACAGGAAAAAAACCTCCCGGAGCTAGCTTAGAAAACCAAATACATACCAACTAAACTGTCGAGGAGCGTCACGCGGGGACCAAACGACATAAAAATTCAGTTTCCCCATTTTGCCTGGACGTTATTAAAGCTGGGCGCTGCGCCGCTGCGGCGTCTGGAGAAGAGACGCACGTGGGACTGAAGATCAATCAATCCAAAGTCAGCCCGCGTGCGAAGATTGTTTTTATAATAGTTTTCCAATGCTGATGGAGAATACAGACAAATCACCCATAAACACGTCGCATAGTCGTATGTAAATCGTAGAGCCAAATAAGTAAAAAAAAAAAACATGTAAGATCTCGAAAACTAATTGAATTTTAGGAAAATAATAAAATCTTAACATTTTATAACCTAATAATGGGAAAGTGCAACCAAGTCAATAAATAAAACAGACAATGCATGTTATATGTGTGTGTGTGTGTGTGTGTGTGTGTGTGTGTGTGTGTGTGTGTGTATATATATATATATATATATATATATATATATATCTTTTTTTTTTTTAATTTACAAATTTTAGATTAAGATCCACTACATTTATTAATGTCGACTGAAATTCTGCTAAATATGAGTGAAAGTACGAAAATTATTTTTAAAATAGTTTAGAAAGACAGTGGCAAGTTAACAGATAGAAAAAAAAATCTCTTGATGAATCTAAAGAAATATTACTACAAAAATATTAATTTTTATCCAGTGTAGAAGAAGAGTTGAACAACCACTGAAATACTCCAGATCACCCTAAAAATATCAGACACAGGTTACCAGAGAAAATACAAATGCAGTTTTAAAATAATTATTTTATTAAGAGAAAAACATATTTCCAAACAAACTTGACACTCTTTCTAAAGTGCAATAGCTCCTAAACTGTCAACAACTGTCACCCAGTGGTAATGAGTTTTTCACATCGCTCTAAGCCTGTTTATGGTCATAAACTTTTTCTAGGGTACATCAAACATTTCAACAGAGGTGGACCAGATGTTCTTATGATAATTGTCTTGCTTTAAAACCCAAGAGCATATCGATGCCTGTTTTTCATCTGCCTTTGAATTTCTTCTAATCAGGGAGATTATTTAGCCTACTTCATGTTGTCCGAGATGTACTATTCAAGTGATGATTCGATTAGTGGAACTTGCGAGTAAAATTGAACTAGTGTTCAATGTGGTTAATCACAGTTAATCTATGACAGGAAAATGTTAGTTTAGGTTATTTTTTCCTCTTTAATAAGTGAAATCATAATTTAAAAACAAAATTTTACTTCAATTTGTCTTTGTTGTTAAAAACCTGATCATCTGAAACATTAAATGTCACAAGAAAAAGCAACTGAAAAAAACCTGTAAAGCAAATATATTTTAATTTTCTATCATGTTCAAGAAGTTGGATATGTTGTTTTTCTATGTCACTGCTTTGAACCATGTCAAAACATTGTGAAAACAGGCTTTCATAGTGCAGCACTACTCTAGCTTTCTCCCATCAACGAAATCATAGTTCATCGAAACATTTTGCAGAGGGAACTAAAACGTTGTTGTCTTACTGCCTTTTAGAAGCGACGTTACTGTAGGACTGTGGCTGGCCTTCCGGGAACTCTTAAAATAAAACCAGGTTACATCAGCACCTCTGTAACAATTACATCAATCCCCTAATGCTGCAATTTAATAGAAACACAAGGGAACATACTGAGGTACCTGCTAATCCTGGCTCTGCTGTGAGACTGGTATAAAATGCCGCAAACTCAACGAGCGTATTTACCGGGTAGTCGTTTTGGAACCTACACCTACTTCTATAACTCCCCCTCCATCCAATTAATGACACAGACAACTAGACAATCTGCTTTTTATTGTTGAATATAAATTTCAGGAACAAATAGTATACTTTAAAGTGAAGGTATGGGACAGCAAACAGCTTGAAAACAGTTGCTTTACAGTTGCATACGACATTAGCAGCCAAATCTGTGACTTCTTTGGAAATAATGCGCATGTGTGGAAGTGATAAAGTATCAGTTATACAAGAAAAAGGTGGTCCAACACACGAAGAACGTCAAAAAATAAACACAGTGATCTTCACTTAAAAAACACATGTGGATGAAACACTGCAACTGGCCTCTACGTTTAAAACAGCTAATTAAAACACTGGCGAAGCAAAGTAAATATTGATTCTAGAGCGTTATTTGATGAGGGCTTTTATATGCGCCATAAAAACTGTCACGTCAGTACGACAACCTAAAATCTTCCTTCAACACACCAACTGAACCAGTAGAGAACGTATTAAGTCCTGAATTTTCACATGATTTAAAAAATAAGTTACACAACAAAGCTGAATGATTATCAAAACGAACAGCGATGCAATAGAAAAAAAAGAAAAACAGAAAGGTGCATACATACAGACACACACGTGAAAATAATTTCTTCAGAGCACTGCTGATTAAGGACGTGGCCTGGAGAAACACACACTGTGCAGGTTCTCCCTGATTGCTGCTACCATAGAAATGTAACAGATAAAGACAATATACGATTTATGACGGGCACTTGACCAAACAGCACAGAGGAGATATGGCACATGACAAACGCAAGGCTTCTCTGATTATATTCAAACAGGACACCGACAAACAAGATGCACTGAAACCCATTTAATCTGACAAGCAAATATAAAATTGATGTGCCTGCATTTATTTCTTAAATTATATATCTTTATTTATTCCATAACTGAAATCAAAGAAAATAGTTCATTGTTCTTAGGAGTAATATTCAGTAATTTATACATTCGCGAGCAACAAAACTGCCATCTCAGGCACTGTAATACACCCTGTAGTAGAGAGTTTTGTTCCTCCAAAGGGAGTAGGAGTTGTCAAACTTTAGGAGGTAAGTGCCTTCACCTGGGAACTCGTGGCTCCCGCCCTGGACGGACAGATGGCTGTCCTGGCGGTACACAGGCAGTATTTCAGCCAGGTTCGAGTTGGTCTGGCTTTTGGAGCCTTTCTCGACGTCGTCGTTGCTGAGAGGCCCTGCCACACAGAACCACGTATACCAGAATGTCAACATGCTGCCTCACACTTGATCAACAACTTGTTGCCAGTATCCACAACGTAAAAGAAAACAAAAAAACACACAAACTTTTGCTTCAAGACTAATAAGAATTTCTCTAATACACTTTCTGATTATAGAGAAATGAACCCTGTTGCTGAGCACCAACAGAAGGTTTCTACAGCTTCTCCTTGCTCACAAAAAATATAAATCGAGGTGTTTTAAATCATTTTGACTGGAAAAAGTCATAGTCATAGCATGGAATAAAATTTGTTTTGGATATAAAATTGGAAACCAGACCCTGACAAAATCTGTAATTATCAGCTTTTTGTGCTCGTGTTACACTAAAAACAAAATCCAGAAAGTGAACCTTTTTAAATGGTGTCCAAAGTAACACTACTAAGCTGAAAATTTCTAAATTTACTGTTTACTATAGATTTTTTGCCAAAAGTATGTACTTCAGCATAAAACATCAA